AAATAATCTTTGGCAAGCTCGTCGGATTCGGAGTGTGCCTCCCGCTTCCCCGCCTCCCTCCCAGACCTCCCCGCTGTCGTGGAGGGCGCCGCGGCGGACGTGTCTGACCGTTTTCTCGGCCCCAAGACCATCAACAGGAGGAGGACGAGGAGGAAGATGAAGAGGAGGAGGAGGGGAACGAGCAGGAGGAGGAGGAGGTGTTCGATGAAGGCGTTCCGACTGGGTGAGCAGGTGCAGGCCAGTATTGAGAGGAGATGTATGGACGCTTTTGGTGGACGTACAGATGTTGGACGACCTTACAGAGTCTTCCTGGACCGCAGCACAACCGCAACGTGCTGGCTCAAGTAATATGTTCTCTTCTCGGGGAACAAACGTCCCTACCATAGATTTTCATGGTACCGGAGCCCGTAGTTCGCCCCACTGGGTCCAAAGCAGAGGTGGCCGCGGCGGCCGCTGCAGCGATCCTGGTGAACTCCGGCAACAACGACCCGGTTTACGATGGATCGTTGCTTACAAATACGTGGAGCTTGTACAGTCCAGGCAAAAGCAGGTTCGCATAATTATGCGATGCACAGCGTTCAAAGCCAACCACGACAGCATGACACTTTCCTTTGAGCGCAGTGCCACACAGGGCACCCATATTGTTGGCAATGAGTAAACCATCCAACTTGTTACAAATGAGTGACCGTGGATGATTCATTCACCGCAACATGCACTGCGAGTAGCACTTCAACAACCGGACATACTTGTAAGGACATCTATGCAGCATCAGGCGAACGCCTCGGAGCATGGCACCAAGATCGTCGAGGCAATAGTGTCGGCAGGAAACGCCAAGCAGGAGGAGGCGGAACCATCCCCGTGAGCGAACACGAGGATGTTCAGCAGTTGGGTTCGTTCCCCGGCGACAGGACCAAGGCGGACACGGGTCGATGTGTACCGGGCTTGACGTCAGCGGAAGTGGCGGCGCGAATGAAGTGGGCAAAGGCAGGAGCAAAGGTAAAGTGCACACGTGCTACGAGGGCGACGTTGGTGGGCACATTGCCAACTACTGCGGTTTTGAAGGAACCAGCAAAGGAATCCCATTTTAGAAATACATGGCGCCACAGGTTACCAAGGAACGCAGGTTGGAGGATACAGGAGGATAGCAAGGCACCAAAGGTTACCCAGGGGGGTACGTCAGAGGAGGTCACAAAGGGAACCTTCCAAGAGGTCACCAATTGAACCGAGCCCACGGATGGAAAGGAGGAGGTAGGGGAGGGTTTGGGCTGATCAGCGAGAGGGAGTGCCACAAATGCGGCGAAAAAGGGTCACAGCGCAGCCCGCTGCCGCAAAAACACCAACGAGGTCACCCCAACTCACGGGGGGGCAGGAGCTCCCGGAGAGGCCGCGCTGATGTCAAGACGAGCCCTGCTCGGACCAGGGTGCCGCAGTGTCGACATGGGCGAAGCTGCTGACACTGGCGGAGTTATCGGCAACACCATAGCAACAGAGCCGGCTACAGGGGCCCAAGAGTGGAGGATGCATTAGCAGATCACGAAGAGGAGGAAAAGAGAGGCAAGGTTAAGGTATCAAGAAGATATTCGCCCCACATGATGCAGCGTTGATCGCGACCACGGCGCCAGCCGGGACAACCGAGTTCCGAGTTCTGGCAAGCAGGAGGAAAGTTGTCTGTAAACGTGCGCAGAGCTGCAGCTAGTGGAAGTGGCATGGCCCAACAAGGAAGTTAATGAAGTACTTGCGAAGAACCAGGAGAGCTGCGTGGAGTCGATCGTGGTTACCGTGGACTCGGGAGCCTACAACGCGGCTAGGCCTTCAAATGCGGGAGCCAATTTCCCGTCGAGCCCGCCGAGACTTCCATGAGCGGCGCGCGCTACAGAGCAGCCATTGGATCGATCATCGGGCATCATGGACACCGGGCT